AGGGGTGAGTAGAGAGAGAGAGAGAGAGAGAAAGAAAGGGATAGAGAGAGAGAGAGAGAGAGGAAGGGATAGAGAGAGAGAGAGCAGTAACTTTGGCCGTAGCACCAGCTCTGATGGCGAAAGGCATTCACGAGCATACGAGAGTCCCGCACTGCCGCGCCGTGCCGATACATTTGCCGGTTTTGACGGGAACAAGCCTAGGGGTGAGTAGATAGAGAGAGAGAGAGAGAGAAAGGGATAGAGAGAGAGAGAGCAGTAACCTTGGCCGTAGCACCAGCTCCGCTGGAGAAAGGCATTCGCGAGCATACGTGAGTCCCGCACTGCCGCGCCGTGCCGATACATTTGCTGGTTTTGATGGGAACAAGCCTAGGGGTGAGTAGAGAGAGAGAGAGAGAGAGAGAGGAGAGAGAGAAAGAAAGGGATAGAGAGAGAGAGAGCAGTAACCTTGGCCGTAGCACCAGCTCTGCTGGCGAAAGGCATTCGCGAGCATACGAGAGTCTGGCACTGCCGCGCCGTGCCGAATAGTGCCGATACATTTGCCGGTTTTGACGGGAACAAGCCTAGGGGTGAGTAGAGAGAGAGAGGAGAGAGAGAGAGAGAGCAGTAACCTCGGCTGCAGCACCAGTTCCGCTGGCGAAAGGCATTCGCGAGCATACGAGAGTCCGGCACTGCCGCGCCGTGCCGATACATTTGCCGGTTTTGATGGCAACAAGCCTCGGGGTAAGTGCCGAAACCGTAACCTTAGCCTAGGGGCGAGCTTGCCCATACTACCGCCCGTATTCACAAACAATGCTTGCTTAAGTGAAGCAGCAAATCAAACGTACGTTTACACTTCTATGGCTACTATCTGCAGGTGAAAGGTGCGAACTGTGGACATAGTGTATACTTTTATTTTCTCTACAAGTATTTGTGTATTATTATTATTTACTTGCTTTCCGCCCGCGGCTTCACCCGCGTGGAATTTTTCGGTTTTTTTATACTTAGTCGGGTCATAAGTTCTGTCACATGTTTATAGTGAAATAATTGATACTAAATTTGTTTTTACGGTAATCATTTATATACCAATAGAAAGGTATTAAAACAAAGATTTTATGCTTATAAAAATTATTTCAAATTTTCCTCGCAATTATGAATACAAGGGTTCAAACTGCCCGGTCAGTGGTCTCTAGAAACACGAGCGAGTTTCGTATCAATATCGGCGGCTGGTTTAATACAGGATGCCTTGAGAGACTCCAAATCAATATGAGGTATAGAGCAGACCTTCCTCTCCAAATGTTGCCATATTTTGTAATCCAACGGATTAGAGTCTGGACTGGATGAGGGCCAGACTTCGTGCCGGCTGAGGTCAATTTTACGCCCTGCGAGCGGGTTTTGCGCGCTTTTCGCTCTATGAGCTGGCTCAGAATCCTGCTGGAACTCCCAGTGTCTGTTATTGGGCATGATATGTGAAAAAGGTTCTATAAGCTTTGTGAGAACTGAATTTTGATACAGAATGGCATTCGTTTTTATGCCTTTCATGCAAAAAATACCTCAAAAAAGCCCAAATTTGAGACATGTTACCAAACCTTGAGTGACGATAAAAGCTGGCCTAGATGGACAGCCTAAATTAAGCTGGTGCTTCTTCATTGATGTACGCATCCAACTTATCATTTTGTTTTTTTGTAACTCTCCTCCATGGTATATAAAAACATTCGAAAAATGTTATTCAATGTACTTTTTTCCCGCGTACCGCTTAAGCAAAACGTGGGATTTTTTCAATCTCAGGTCTTTTAAACGCGCATCCAAGTAATTTTTGATTTTTATTCAAAAAGTTTGAAGCCTTTAGTCTTCATAAATACCAATTTCACCCTGGTTCTGCTTAAGCCTACCTCCAGGGCAGGCAGTCTGCTAACGCATGGGATTTTTTTGAGTTCGCGCCTTCGCAGCTTTGAACGCTGCTGGAGTCCTAACTGTGCAAGAACAATTACTTTTGTTTTGTGTCTTCTACACTTAAAACTTCATTATATCGTATGATGAAACGATAAACGTAAAATTAATATTTAATTAATTTTTTTCAGCACATCGAAAATCTGCTTTCGCGCGTAACCGCACCAATGCTGCGTGACAACTACTGTTCGGTCTTCTTTATGCGTCCACTACATATTTAAAAACAAATAAAATTCAAAACAGTGCACATTTTTAATTTCATTAAATATTCTAAATTCTAATTCAATAAATATTTTTGAGACCTTCATTCAAAATTCAAAAGTTATGATCATGTGACAGAACTTACGACCAGACTAGGTATAACCTATGACACTCAGCAATTTTGTGGCTTTCTATTGGTGAAATAACTTTTAAAATCGGTTCAGTAGATCCCGTGATTGCCCCTTGCAATTTAATAAATATACAAACACACAAACTTTACCTCTTTATAATATTAGTATAGATTATTTAATTACTTATATATCTATTTACTTATATGTCTATTTAATTCTACTTCTCACATATAACACTAACTCGTAACATTATTTAAGTAACATTTAACGTCATTTCAACGAATCTGTTTTCATTATTGTATTTAGACAGAGCGGTCTGATCCTAACACACGTTGATAAAACTTAAAAGGATTAAATAAATAAATAAATAAATCTTTGGACAATTTCACACAGCGCCAGTTAGCCCCAAAGTAAGCAACTTAATGCTTGTGTTATGGGTGCTAGCTTAACGGATATACTACTTATATACTTTTTTTTTTTAAATACATAAATATTATACATAGTCACACCCAGACCCGTCACAGAAATTAAAATTCATCATTTTAATTTCTGCCCGGCCGGGAATCGAACCGTCCCGGCATAGTAGTCCGTTCTGAACCACTACACCAAACGGCCGACAAATGGCAATGCCAGATTTTGTATGGAAAGTGGCGTCTTTTTTTTTTCGCGCGGCCATCGACCAAACTTTGTTTTTTGATTACAAAATAGTGTAATAAACCAAACTTACTATGGCATGTATACCTCTAAACTCAGTCTGAACTGAGTTACGAGCATTAGAAGTTTGATGATTTTCATACTAGATTTGCTTTTTGTGCGCAAGTTTTGTAAGGAATTGCAACAAAATATTGCGCTATTTTTTTATTGCGCTGATTCTGCTCCATACTGATGTCTGGAGCCTTTAATGGATGGTATTGTTTGTTTACACATACAATCTCACTATTTTGTTGCAATTTCTTACAAAACTTTGCGCGCAAAAAGCAAATCTAGTATGAAAATCATCAAACTTCTAATGCTCGTAACTCAGTTCAGACTGAGTTTAGAGGTATACATGCCATAGTAAGTTTGGTTTATTACACTATTTTGTAATCAAAAAACTAAGTTTGGTCGATGGCCGCGCGAAAAAAAAAAGACGCCAATTTCCGGCATTGTCTTTTAGATCCAAAACTTTGTTATGTGACTTGTTTGTATGAATAAAATATTTTGTATTTTTGTTGTATTTGTACAGCGTTGAATAGAGCTCTGTGATTGGTTCGTGTGTCACCCTGTACGTCCACGCGCACTGTGAGACCTCATAGTAATGTTTGTGAATACGGGCGTATGTCTTCCGGCTCGTGGTACTCGAGAACTTTTCTGCCCTACCGGCCATCAGCGTGCTATGTGCCCCGCCCACTACTACTTGATTTTAGCGATTCTGCGGGCTATGTCAGTTACTTTAGTTCTCCTGTGGATCTCCTCATTTAGGACGTTCCATCGCCCTTTGGGTGACCTTGAGCCTTCTTATGAGGTCGCGGGAGGTGCCTGGATGCGGGCGGCGCAGAAGCGGTCTTTGTGGAAATCCTTAGGGGAGGCCGTTGTCCAGCAGTGGACGTCATTCGGCTGAAACGAACTCCTTAGCCCTAGACGCAGCAAGCAGCAATCGGTGGCAGTAATATTAGTTACTAGTTTATAGATCGTTTGATCCACGAAGACCCGCCCCACAAATTTTTGATCGGAACAATCCGAGCGTCATTATTGTAGTGTGCATGTGCACTCATAAATAATTTAGCGTGTACCGATAACACTCAAACATTAGCGGAAGAATGGTGGGGCGCGTCTTCGTGGATGAAACGAGGAATACGATAGTCGAGCGCATATGCCTTCGCGAGTTTCATCGGTAACAAGCCTCGGAGTCGAGTCGAGTGGAGTCAATTTCGTGGCTTAGTCATCAAAATGACAACTTCTCAAAATGACAACCGGGACGCAAAATGTCCACAAATAATCGAAATATCCGAAATAGACAATATTATTATTTCTCACGCTTATCAAAACTTAGTATTTTTCTAAAGCCAATAATTAATTTGGCAGATAATGCCACCTGGCATTAAGTCCGCCACTGTACATATGTATGTGCAAAAGTGTAAATAAATAAAAAAAAATAAAATAAAATTCTTCACAGGGGTATCGCTTCGAATGTCAACAGACACACCAGGGGAGGGCGAGCCAGAAGGGCCGGACAGTGGCTCGCCGCGCCTGTTGGAACAAGTGGGGGGAGACGCGGCCCTCAAGCTACAGCATGCCATATACACGCTCACCTGTATCGTGTGGCAGCAGCTCACCACTATACACAGGTGAGAGGAGATAGGGCTAAAGCCTGGTCCGTGAGCACGTAGAATCCCGTCCAATGACCCCAAGCAATATAATTACGCGCGAGCGATAAGCATGGGTAGCTTGGGGTCATTGGACGGGATTCTACGTGCTCACGGACCAGGCTTTAGAGGGGCGTGATAGTGGCTCGCCGAGGAGACAGGGCTAAAGAAGTGGACAGTGGCTCGCCGCGCTTCTTAGAGCAAGTCGGGGGAGACGCGGCCCTGAAGCTGCAGCACGCGATATATACGCTCACCTGCATCGTGTGGCAGCAACTGACTACCATACACAGGTGAGGGGAGATAGGGCTAGAGAGGCGTGGCAGTGGCTCGCCGAGGAGAGCAAGTGGGGGGAGACGCGGCCCTGAAGCTACAGCACGCGATATACACACTCACCTGTATCGTGTGGCAGCAACTCACCACAATACACAGGTGAGGGGAGATAGGGCTAGAGGGGCGTGATAGTGGCTCGCCGAGGAGACAGGGCTAAAGAGGCGGACAGTGGCTCGCCGCGGCTGTTGGAACAAGTGGGAGGAGACGCGGCCCTGAAGCTACAGCACGCAATATACACGCTCACCTGCATCGTGTGGCAGCAACTGACCACCATACACAGGTAAGAAAGAAGAAAGAAAGAAAATAATGTTATTTGGCAACAAACGACATTCTTATAAAAAAAAAAACGAGACGATAAAAGTTGCTAAAAAGGTCACCCACTCAGTACTATATTGACAGTGTAACTGCCAAGACACTGATTTTCAGTGAATGAGATGGGGGTCAGGGGATATAGGGAGAAAAAGGGGCGTGGCAGTAGGTTGCCACGCCTTCTCGGGTAAATTGAAGGAGACACGGCACTTAAGCTTACTGTTATCTGAATCATGTTTAAGTAACTGACCGCCATACGCAAGTGAGCCTATAAGTAGTAGGGCTACGTTGTAATTAGAGGAGATTGAGTCAGAGGAAATAGGGTGTAAAAGGGGCGTGGTAGTGACTCACTTCTTAGAGCAAGTGGGAGGAGACGGCCCTGAAGCTGCAGCACGCGATATATACGCTCACCTGCATCGTGTAGCAGCAGCTCACAACCATACACAGGTGAGGGGAGATAGGGCTAAAGGGGCGTGGCAGTGGCTCGTTTCTAAGAGCAAGTGGGGGGAGACGCGGCCCTGAAGCTACAGCACGCGATATACGTGTAAAAGCGCTTTTTTAAAGCCTATTTGCAAAAATAAATGAATTTTATGAATTTTATACACGCTCACCTGCATCGTGTGGCAGCAGCTCACCACCATACACAGGTGAGGGGAGATAGGGGTGTGATAGTGACTCGGCTCTTAGAGCAAGTGGAGGGAGACGCGGCCCTTAAGCTACAGCACGCTATCCTACCTAGGTTTAAAGAAGCGTGGCAGTGACTCGCCACTCCTCCTAGGTCAAAGAGTAGACGTAGTGACGTAGTTTTTAAGATAATTTATTTATTTGCTTAAAACATGGTATACATAATATTAATTAAATATCGGTGTTACATGTTGAAATGTGCTCATGTTCTGCTTCATCAAAGAATGCATGCAAATATTTTATATACAGTAGTTGGAATCTAATTAATTAATACAACAAGTTCATAATAATGTCTCAGTTACAATAATGTCAGAAAAGGTCACTTTATCTGAGTAATGTTGTAATAATTGACCACTAAACACACGTCATTTGGCTGAAACAAACACACACTGTGGGTTAGGAAAGCTAGTTTGTGTCCGATATTGGCTGTGAAATACAAAATTCCGCACAGTGCTAATACTTTTGAAGACATTAATCACCATCCAAGTGGCATCCCTTTATCTTTCAGTTTTCAATGTTTTCAGTCAGCCAATCGAATTGAAATTTAGGAACACAGTGGTGACTGAGTTTGTTGCGGCGCTTCTTCTCAGCACTTGCCAAATGTTGGTCTCGAAACGCTGGTAGGGTAAAAAGATTATGAGACATGTAGAGGCTCCTTAAGAGCAAAATGACGATTTGTAAGAACTATTTATTAGTCTAAACAAATAAAGAAATTTTGACTTTGACTTTGAACCTAGGCTAGGCTAAGTCCGTTGCGTCACTGTCAAAAGCCTATCACATGACTATATGCTTTATTTTCCAGCCTAGAAGCACAAGTCTGCGCGTGGCGTTCAAGCGGCGGCAACGCAGCGCGCTCGCACGACGCGCAACTAGAAGAGCTGAGGCACGCGCAAGCCAAGCTGACAGCCGACCGCGCCTCGTGGGAGGCCTCACGGGCAGCCGACACCAGGGCCATCGCCGCCGGTGAGTCTCACAGGCCCGAGGCAGCAAGGTTCTGGTCTCACAGGCCCGAGGCAGCAAGGTTCTGGTCTCACAGGCCTGAGGCAGCAAGGTTCTGGTCTCAGAGGCTCCGGGGCAGGTAGGTTCTGGTCTCACAGGCCCGAGGCAGCAAGGTTCTGGTCTCACAGGCCCAAGGCAGGAAGGTTCTNAGGCCAAGCTGACAGCCGACCGCGCCTCGTGGGAGGCCTCGCGGGCCGCCGACACCAGGGCCATCGCCGCCGGTGAGTCTCACAGGCCCGAGGCAGCAAGGTTCTGGTCTCACAGGCCCGAGGCCGCAAGGTTCTGGTCTCACAGGCCCGAGGCACGCGGCGCTCCCACGACGCGCAACTAGAAGAACTGAGGCACGCGCAGGCCAAGCTGACAGCCGACCGCGCCTCGTGGGAGGCCTCGCGGGCCACCGACACCAGGGCCATCGCCGCCGGTGAGTCTCACAGGCCCGAGGCAGCAAGGTTCTGGTCTCACAGGCAGGAAGGTTCTGAAATGGAGGCCACGCAGCGTAGGTAGGACGTCAATCTACCTACAAGGTGGACGATTGACCTTATAATGGATGCAGGCCGTTACCAACCGGCCAATATGGAAATTATTAGGAGTGGCTTATGTTCAGCAGTGGATGTGCTGTGACTGAAATGATGCTATTGGATGTTTTTGATAAGAAATCAATTACTGATCATCTCAGCCTTAAGACGTCCACTGCTGAACATAGGCCTCCCCCAATGCATTCCATGTTGCCCGGTTGGTAGCAGCCTGCGTCCAGCGCCTTCCTGCTACCTTTATGATGTCGTCGGTCCGTCACGTAACGTTCGTCCGCCGGTAGAAATCCATTATTGTGGTTCTGTAAAGCGCATAAACACTTTTTGTGAGAAACCGAAACTTACGCGGGTACAACCTCTGAACAGAAACGTGGTGTAACTGTAAACCTTTATCTACTATAACAATAGATTAATAACTAATTACTTACAGAGAAACGTCAACTCCAAGAGGCGAGGGAGGAATTGGCCGAGCAACAGAAAGATGTGGAGCAGCAGAGAGAAAGACTGTACAGGCGGCTGGAGCGGTTACAACAGCACGGTATGACTTCGGCTAGGTTGCACCGTCTTAATTTAACTTTAACAAACGTCAAAATTCAGTCAAACTTCATACAAAAAGCACCGGTACCTCTAGCACGAAAAACGTTCGACTTCGAATCGTATGCGGTCGTTTGCGTATTCGAATCGCCATCAAACGATTTAGTACGAAAACTAAAACAGCGCCTTTGTGAACGTGGCATAAAGTGAACTTAGTATGAGAAATGGTTGCACGAAACTTATTTTGACAATCAAAATTGTCACGTCATCGTTTAATTCGAAGGTTGAGTATCGAATTTTGTCGAATACGCAAACGATTCGAAGACGAAAGTTGTTCATGCTAGAGGTACGGTTATCGTTATAGTTACGGTCAAAATTAGGTGGTGCAACTCAGCCTTACTCTATTAGTGTAGCAAGTATTCAATATACTATAGACTTCAATGCATTAAAGTAAGAAGTCTTTAAAAGAGAGGAGGCTTTTAATTACTTATTCTTCACAGTACTGGCCAATATGTTGTCCCGAAGTGATGGTAGGCCAAGCTATATTTAGGACATGCATAAGTGCTTTGTAAAGTGCCTTTGAATTAATAAATAATTCGAATTGAAATTTATGACAAACTAAAAATAATATTTATCTAATTGAGCTGGTGCTTATCATATTTCATATTATAACAATTTGTTTTTTTTTTGTCAGGCGGTTCGCAAGAGGAAATAGCTAGTGTTGGCACGTTATCGCCAGACTCCAGTGTCAGTGACACCACGCGGCGGAAAGAGCCGAAATGGCGAAGTAAGTGGTTTTTGAGAGATGTCATAATAGGGGTTATCGTTGACCGAGTGTGTTAAGTGTCACTCGGGCCTTGGACACGTTACTTGTTCTGGGGCATGTAGAAACATATTTTTGTCGATTCTTTTATCTTAATTAGTTAATTGGCGGAGAATGCCACACGGCATTAAGTTTGCCTTTTGTACCGTTACGAAGCCACGACAGCCGAACGGTGAAGGGGTCGGACTGGTCGACTCGTGGTCCGGGGAACGCGGGTTCGGTCCCCGCCGCAGCTTGACTATTGTGGTGAGCTCACTCGTGACACAAGCAAATTTAGCTTAGTACGAGGGGCAAACGAGTAATTATTATTTGTGAAATAACAAATTAATAATAATTTAAAATAATTGAAATAAATGGAATGGACTACAAGTGTTATTTCTATATACCAAAATATTTAGCATTACACTTTCTAATGTTTTACGTGAATATAAGTTGTAATTAAGTAAATAACGTGTATTGACAGACAACCGCGGCTCCACCGGCTCCGAATGTTCGGCGAGCGCGTGCTCGGTGCGCGCCTCGTTACCACCGCCGCAGTTGCTTTCCGCGCACAACGAGACGCGCGCCACTGTGCGTGCGCCCGCCATTGTAAGTACAAATGTTTTACCTAAAGTCTGGTCTGGAATTTTGTCCAATGACCCCAAGCTACCCATCCTTATCGCCCGCGCGTAATTATATTGCTGTCGCGACTGTGCGACGCGCGCCCGCAGTGAGTGTGCGAGCGCGACAGCAACATAAATACGCGCGAGCGATAAGGATGGGTAGCTTGGGGTCATTGGACAAAATTCTACGTGCTCCAGGACCAGACTATAGAAATTCCCGAACACTAAAAGAAAAAAAAAAAGAAACATTTATTAGAATAGACATCACACAAAGATAGACATACGTATAGACGTAACAGTGGCACTTAGGTATAATATTAGGACAGAAAAATCAAGAGTGAACCGGACCTCTAGCACGAAAAACTTTCGACTTCGAACCGTTTGCATATTCGAATCGCCATCAAAAGACTTAGAACGAGAACTAACAGCGCCCTTGTGAACGTGTCGTAAAGTGAACTTAGTATGAGAAATAGTTGCACGAAACTTATTTTGACAATCAAAATTGTCACGTTATCGTTTAATTCGAAGTTTGAGTATCGAATTTTGTCGCATACGCAAATTGTTCATGCTCGAGGTACTGAGCAGTGCTACCTTCTTTTAACAGCAATGCCCACTCCCACTCAGCACGTGACCCACGGCGACAAAGGCCACGACGCTGGTTTTCAGTGTTTCCCTTGCCGAGTGACGGTCACGGACTATTCATGTAGGAATTGAAACCCAGGTTGTATTTCTTCAGCTGTATTTGTATTTACTCCAGGATAAACCACAAAAAATAGGAACGTCTTAGAACCGTCTTAATACTTTTCGTCTTCTGTTTAAATCCCGTCGTTCTTACTTCCTCACTCATTCATTCCGTCTCACTCACTCCCTTGCGTTCCGTTTCACACTCCCACACTCGGCCATCCTGCGTACAGTCCGCCCTCGGACTGTTTCATTTCAAAATTTTACATTAAAGCGTCTTATAACTAATCTTGTTTAATACAATTCTTATAATCATCTTTCTCGTATGTTCTAGCTTTCTTTCTTTTCTTGTTATAAACTCTAACACTTCCATCTTGAATTGTCTCCACACATTCTCTTGCCTTTTCTCTTAACTCTGGTCTTGTCTCGTTCATTCTTTCTACGTTTTCCTCTTCTATCATCTTAACAAGTTCATCATCTCCTTTATTAATCCGGTTAAACAGTCCTTCTTTCCCTCCCTCGTGATTCTCTCTTATAATTTCGTTCTGCGTCTTCTCCGGTACTACAAATAATAATTCATCTTCATCTCTTTCTTGGTACAACATGTCATTCTGGTAGGATTCTTTCAGCATCTGAATATGTTCGTCTTCATCTTGTGCTTTCTTCAGTCGTGCAGTCGTCTCGGTAAGTACTAAACAGCTTAGGACGTCGGCTTGTTTCATACGTGATACAGGTCGGTGTTCAATCTGACAGTCGTTACTTTTCTTTATTTCATCTGTAGGCTTGCAGTCTTCTAATATTTTCTCAATTTCAGTCATGTGTCTAGAGTCGTCTATGTCGTGTACTACAACTTGATCATCTTTTTCCAACGGGACAACTTCGGTCCGTCCGAGTCCACTCAACGTCAAACATCTTCCGTCGTCGTATTTTGGGGAGCCGATAGTTTTGTACACGTCTTCCGTCATGAGATTCACCTCGCTGCCCGTATCAATAAGACTCGCCGTAGTTATCGCGTTGTTGTCAACAAATTGAACTTCTTTTAGCGGCCTCGATGTTTTCACACTTTTGTTGTTTACGTCCGATACCATCAAGTTGGCAGAAGTGTCATCTGTCAGTTCTGCGTTTCGTTCTACGTTCGGTTTCGATCTCCAGTCAGTTGTTGATTGCGTCGTGTTGGCAACACTGTATCGTTCGGGTGTTTTCGTGAACATCGCTCGTTTCGGACTGGCATGACGTTGCTGACGATTGTCTGACTGCCATTTTGAATTTTCACTGGTCACTTGTTGATGATTTGCAGGTTTTGAACATTCACTAGATCTGTGTCCAAACTCATTACACCGGAAACATTTAACCCCTCTTTCCTTGTGAAAACATTGAGCCGAAATATGGTTGCTTCCTCCACAGTTAAAACATCTTGGTCTTGTCGTCTTATTGTAATTTACCGGTGCCGTCGTGCTGCTACTGGAGGGTCTACGTCGTTCATCCACCATTTTCGCCTTTACTGTCTCGTATACTTTCAGTTTCTCTTTCAGCTCACCGTATGTAGTTGCACCGTACAGCATGATTTTATTGGTTTCTACGTCAACAATGCCGTCTATGATATATTTTATTGCGACGTAGTCGGGCATTTTCCCGCGCCTTCCCAACTCCTTCATGACAAGTAGGTAATCAGTACAGCTCTCACTATTGGCCTTCTTTCTCGCACTCATCATTTCGTGGACTGTCTTTACGTCTAACGAATCCGGGAACTCTTTGAGTAAACCAGTTTTGAACTCGTCCCACGACCTGAATGGCTTCTCCGACCGCAACCAGAGTGCCGCTGTTCCAATGAGTGATCTGCGTCCCACAATGAGTTGGTGTAATGGTGACCAACCAAAGATCTCAGCGTTCTCCTCCACCTCTTGGACCCATCTTGATGCGGTGACAGTTTGGTCTCGACCACTAAATTTTGGGATCAGCTCCTCGGCATAGGCAAAAGTAGTAGGTATGCGCTGCTCCAGGGTCTTGCTCGGGCCAGCATCTTCCGCATCTTCGAAATCATGCTTGCTATGTCGTCGTCTCATGATTGATGAAAATACGTCTCACGTCTCAATCCGTCGTAATCGTCGTGAATCGTCGTGTTTCCTTTTCTTGGGCTATCCCGGACGAGCCCCCAAGCTGTAGGAATTGAAACCCAGGTTGTATTTCTTCAGCTGTATTTGTATTTACTCCAGGATAAACCACAAAAAATAGGAACGTCTTAGAACCGTCTTAATACTTTTCGTCTTCTGTTTAAATCCCGTCGTTCTTACTTCCTCACTCATTCATTCCGTCTCACTCACTCCCTTGCGTTCCGTTTCACACTCCCACATTCATATATTAAATAACTAGACATCCTAGGACAACTCAACTGTCATTGGTTGAAAGAAAGAAAGAAAAAACATTTATTTGGTACCAAAAAATTAAACAATAAGTACAATCAACTTAAAAAGCAAAATACATTGTACCAAATTGGTCTCTGCTCAGTATGAGGTCATAACGTACTGAAGAGCACGTTACGTCAGAGGCAAAACTGTAGATTAAGTTAGAGGCAAAACTGTAGATCTAGTCTGTTAATAAGAAGTTGCAGTGGTGAGAAAGATAGGTGACATTAGTCTTACTGACATAGTTATTACTCCATTGTCATTGATTAATTTAATCTATTAATTACAGCAAATGGTAAAACAACAACTGCCGCTGAAACTAGCAAGTGGGAAGAGTCAACAGCAACCACCACCGGGTTACCACCGCTTACACGAGTCGCCTAGCGAGGTCAGTACACGATGTTTTAGTTAAATCATCTTCTTCATCATCATCATCATCATTATTACTGACGGGATTGCTACCATGTACCTTAATTTTGAGTTCCCGATATTTCGGCACTGTTGCATTTATGTTAGTGACCATGAAAGTTTAAAACAATATATGTATTCATCATCATCATCATCACCATATTGTCATCATCGTCGTTATCAATATGATGACCGGGTCATTTAGAGGAGCACGACCCTCTCTAATTTACTAGAGGCAAACGGAGAATGTGGCCTATACGAGTATTCTCTCATGTCATCCTTAATTTAAGAGCCATTTTACATTTTCGTGCGAATTTCTAAGATTTTGGAAGCATGAATTACTATCTTTAGCAACACCCAGAGATTATTTAATAACTGCGAAAGATAGGTCAATCCTTGTTGTTGACCATTAATGAAACGGATTTACTAAAACTCTTTTGCTTAATTCACAGTGCCCCATCTCCCACAACCATTTTACGAAAAAATTGCCGCAGACTCATTTTCAAAGTCCTGTATCTATTATTTATGCTCATATAATAAGCTTAAAAATATATAGTAATCATCGGACATATATTCTTGTAGTCCATTAATGAAACAGATTCTTGAATTTCATTACCATTATTGAGTAAAATCTAAAAATAATTTGGCAAATTTGAAGATTAACGTCACATTTTGATCGTGGTTTTTGGTTTAAAAACACAGCATAAACTGCAATAAAAGTATCCCAAAATAAAGAATATTCCTTGTAGAATTAATTTCTACAGTTATTGTTTAAATATTAGTAACCACTTTGTCAAAATATTGATGTGAATATCAGTATAAATTACAATGCGCAAGCCGACATCGATTAGTATGGCGCGAGCGCCCGTCAAGGCAGGACCTGTGTCATTTTTCCCGCCGTAACGTTTACGTGCGTTCGTGTCGTAATGCGGTGATTTGTACGGCGACCAAATACATTTGATACTATGCCGAGAGGCTGTTTCGAGTCGGCCGGCCGAGCAGAAATTGAAATGATGAATTTTAATTTCTTTGACGGATCTGGGTGTAACTATATAATATGTAGGTACCATGTATTTAATTTAATAAATAAATTATAAAAAAGTATATCCATTATGATAGCACCCTTAACACAAGCATATTGGTTGCCTACTTTTGGACTAGATGGCGCTGTGAAATTGTCCAAATATTTGTTTATTTATTTATCCGCTTTGAGTTTTGTTTCGTGAAGAAGAAAAAGAAGCGTTTTGTTTTGTTGTTAAATCTATACTAATAAAAGAGGAAAGATTTAATTGTTTGTTTGTTTGTTTGGAGGCAATAGGCTCCGAAAAAAATTTATTTCACGATTTAGAATCCTAATTTTTTTCTATGTAGGCTATAAAATATTTTCAAAAACTTTAGTCCAAAATCTTTGATAAAATTCGACGTTTAAAAAAAAAAGTATTAACATGTTAACTAATAAATAAATTAGATAACATGTTAATACTTTTTTTTCAGTACGATTTTAGTACTTGTTTTTCAGAAATTCTACGATTTAACTAAACTTCTAAAGTGTTTATATTTTATGCATAATTTATTAACTTCTAAAATATACGGTACTTGATACAAATAAGGCCTACCTAACTTTAAACGCTTATATTTCAATAAATATTAACACCAGTCAACAAAAACAAGGTTAATTAACTTCTTCCATCCTTTAATTTTAGCAATATTACAAAAAATAACACAATTTTTAACTAAATCTATTCAAAATAAGCAAATTACGAAACCACTGATTTTGGCTTTAATAAATCACCTACACGGAATAAGGCCTATATGATTCAAATGCCTGTAGACCTTAAAATTGAGGCTGTATTTAACAAAATGCGGTCTTATAACATTAAACACGTCGATTTGTTTGCGTTATCAAAATTTTACATACCAAGTAAACATAAATATATTGTATATCTCTAGATAAACTTAAATTCCACTTATTAAGAATAATACATAAATTATAGATAAAATTATATATTCCTAGTAACAAAGTAATGATTCTTTACTTAAATTATCAAAAATAATATCAAAAACAAACAATACAATTTTTTTGGTATAGGGGTTATTAAAACACCGTGTTCGAATAAGGCCTACACATAAAACCTTTTAAATAAATCAGTTTAGGAACATCATTTAGTCTTGAATTTTTGTAAACAAAATGAGATCTCAATTTTTGTTAGAACCAGGGCATAAAAAGGCTTCTGAATCATCTTTACGAACTCTTACACAATCTTTGTGATACCACCAAAAGCAGTTCTTTATGGTCGCATATCTGCTACATTGTCTTCGAGACAGGCATGATAATACCAGCTTTTATTCTCCTTTCCTTAAGAATTATACATACAGCTTCTTTTGTTCTTATTTTTTATTGGATTTGTATTTTTTTTTTCTTTTTTTTACAGGTTTTGTAATCTTTTTCGACTCTGTTTTCTTTTTTTTTCTGTGCTGTTAGTAACATTCTTATTAAATAAATATTTCGTTACTCTTTGACTCATTTAGTTTAATGAATTTGTCCGTAATCAGATGTTGACATAAGCATCTAATATGGCCTACCATGCTGAAATAAGGCCTAGGCCTTATTAGATATTTCGCTCTTGTTGTCTTTAAAAATTTACAAATAATGCATCTATAGCCAGTAGTACAAATTAAGGTAATTATTAGCGAGTAAGAAATATTTAGAAACGATTAGTAAGAAAAGCTTAATCTAAAACAGCGTCATTTTACCGAAAATTTAAGATGAAATCGCCAGATTTTTATAACAGAGCACGAAATCACCCACCACCTTAGAAGAACGCGTGCCAATTGGTGCTGGGATCGTGGATCGGGACGCTCATGCACTCTACCGGGTTGTAGGGCATATGAGTACGTGTCCTTGAAGTATTATCCCGGTTGGATTTATTTATCTGTGTTTTCTGATGTATAGGCCTTATTAGAACGTAGGCCTTATTTGTATCAAGTACCTTATATCCTATTGATAGATGACGTGCTTCGTATTTTATTAAAATTATTACCTGACTAGGTTAAAAAGGTGTGGAATGTTATTTTGGAGATAACTTGGTTCAATAGAAATATAGAGAGATGCTAAGTAATGCGCTGAATTCGAAACTCAGTGTCGTATTAGAAATTCACACACACAAAGAAATCAAATTATGTGCTCATTATCCATTGCGGTATCAGTATTCAACGTTCGAATAATCTTTAGTACTATGCAAGCAATATAAACTGTTTACATAATGACGTCGCTACTGTCATCATTGCTTTCACAAGCAATATGTTCCAATTTGTCCCTTGTCACATTTCCCTTTAGTTTCTGTGATCTGTGCTTGTTTCTAAGTTGATATCAATGAAATATTCCTTAGTACTTTTGATTTAAATTATTTTTTTTTAGGTACTATTGGAACAAATTTTGATGCTTTAGAACCATTGGGAAAGGTCATTATATGGGGTCTCTTGATAAAAAAAAGTAGTGTTAGGCACCACTGGGTGTCCAGCTCCAGCATAATAAAAAGATTAGTGGGTTAGATCAGATGGATAGTCTATGGAACTTTACCAAACTGAGGTAAAAATAAAAAAGCGGTGGATGGGTCTTGTTCGCTTATATGGTGGACATGACAATTTCAAATGCATGCAGACTGCACTGCATAGTAAACTCATATAGTCGCTTAGATCAGCTAGCATTCCGCAAATATTATAGTAGCGCACATATTTGACCTATAAAAGATAAATAATAGTAGGTAATCTTGCTCTAGTTGATGGAGAAGAAATATGAAATAATGGTTATAGTCAAAATAAACCAGCAAACAAGCTGATTTGACAGCTTAAAATTACTGTGTGTTTCAATAGAGTCAAAACATCTTATGGCAAGTGCCTGAAAAAACTGAGCCAGTATGGAGAAGGCTTTGCTCAACATGACTCATAAGCGCCCATTGTACTAAACTTAGTACACCCCTGAAAACCTAACTTCTGATTTTGTTTTTGGTTTTCTTTCTGTTTAGTATTATTTCTGAAGTATTTTTATAAAGAAAATAAACATTGGCTATGTGAAATTGATCGTAGTTTTCATTTGGGCGTTAATGGGTTAAGATCCAAAAGCTTTGTTGGATCACTTAGTTTACGGTTGTGGAAAAGATTTGAGAGGTGGTGACGTAACCTGACAGGCTCGGCTTGAGAATGGAAAAAAATGGGAATCAAAAGTTTGCTTTACAAAAAATATGAAATGTTGTCAATGATCAATAGATGATATTCGATAATGGTACTTACGTACCTTGAAGTTTATTGTTTCATTATTATATTTATCATGTTATATTTGTTGAGATGAATAGACGCCTCAAACAGATTAAATGGTTGACCGTTTGTTTTCTGGGGCCAACAGGACGTCGAGTACCCGAACGTATTTTAACGCCAAATTTAGTATAGTAAGTAAACCCGTTGGTGTAGTAGCCTCTTCCAAATTGGTTGTTGTGTATCGTACCACTGATTTGTTCAAACTGGTTTTCAAACAATGTGTAGGAAAAAGATAGATTTATCTTATAAGAAATCTTATATTTATGAAATATAAGAAGGTTAATGTTGCTATTTCACATGTCTTTTTACGTAGAAATTCAAATATACCGTTATTTCAAGCTGTGCAGATACTGTAAATAAATAATGTGGACAGCATAAATAAAAAAATCTTTTTGTTGCCATATCAAATCAAATAAAAATTCTTTATTTGCACATATCAAAATATAATTTAGTGTCATAATTTTTTTGATGTTCAGTGACCTGTGTCTGTGCCTATTGATAGCCTAAATAACAGATAGCAAAGAAAATAATGATGGATTAATCTATTTATTAACTTTTTAAGGGGAAACACTATTTGAACATTTGAATCAAACCGATATTCGTCTTGCAATGTGTTCGTTTAAGAACATTACACAGTAATTAATTTTAATTTTTAACTTTCGCGTTGCATAATTGAATTAATTTTAACAGGTTTTAACGCGATACGCGGACAGATAATATTGAAATATTACCTGTATTTGCCTGACGTTTCGACCGAGTTGCATCGGCATCGGCGTTAAAACCTGTTTAAATGAATTTAATTAGGTACGCAGTAATTTTTACTTTACGTTCGTTTGAAAAATGCAAACCAACTTATCCGAGGGTTAAGGCACTAACATTATTAAATTACATAACTATGATACTCTAGTATATGAGTTCATAAAATCAGTTTGAACAATGAATTTTTCAAAATTATTTGATATAGCAGTAATATTCTTCTACCCACGGCACAATTGGCTTTCGCTTCACACCGCAGCCGCTTAAGTATAAAATCTTGTAGATTTGGTATACCACTGTTCTTGTGTAACAACCATTTTATCTGTTCAGCTTTTGGTGTTTAGAGCATGATTTTTTTATTATACTGGAGGTTGATGAGGATTTTCTACAATAGGTACTTAAACTTGAGACGTCGTTTTCATGACTCCATAGGCTCATTTAGGCCTTTTAACCCTAAGGTTGAGCAAAATTGTAAATTCTAACTCGTTATTGTACGAGTATGTAGCATGAGAACATTTTACATCAGTGGGACACTTAAAGTTACGCTATATTAAAAGTGACCCATTCGAAAAATTGTGAAAAACTTCATATCTATTTATTTAATCATCTGGAATCCGCTTTAAATAAGCAAAATGAGTTAAAAAATGATGTAACTTTGTAAGCTGTAGATGCCTAAACATAAATCAACCTCATGCCAATAGCTAAAATAATGAAAAGTTTACTCTCAGCGTAGTCTAAGTTGCCTCTTAGAACACAAATATTTTTTACATGTCCCAATTAGTGATCTGCCAGATATACAGATATCCGAGAGGGAGTTCGAAATATGGTATGGGTAAAAGTAATCATTCCACACCATATTGGTTCTACCAGGCCTGTTCATCTCTGCGAGTTTACATCGAAAACAAAACACGGACGATGGCCCACCTACAGGACACTATTCGACAAGGCCTCACATACGAGCAAACATTGACTCACGCACGCGTAATTCTTGTGCATGATAGAAGAAAATAAAGAAAATGGTGTACTAAATACCGTGCAGTATTTAACTGCCTAAATAATAGTAAAAACACAGAATGTACTTTTTTAAGTTGCCTCAAGAAAGACACTGAGAGGTAAATAAGTAGTGAATATTATTCATAATAATTCATGCTAAATCATGTATTTCCTCCGCCATTTTCCGCAGTTTGGCACCTCACGTCACATCATTTTACCGAAGTCAGCCCTATAGCTTCGGCGCAGTGCCGATCACTGACGTTTGTCAACAAAATGGTCCTTGACTCTTGAGACAGACTAAATTACACCATATTGTTAATGACATTGAGCATACATTTTTTTAAATACATTCGCGAAGTAAAACTTCTGTACGTAGTACTTATTATTATTCTGTGGTTCTACCCACAAGGATATAATGCTGGTGTTGTTACAGGCTACGAACCAAGGCTTAGTGATCCACCACACACGGACGGGCAGCTCGCCCGCGCCGCTGCCCTCGCACCAACAGCTCAACAACAGGGCCACCAGGTATGCTGTTTGAATTGTTTTAACGCTATCATTGAACGGTGAAATTCTGCGTTACATATTTAACCCCTAGTCATTCGATTCATTCGATGTTTTTGGTCCATTTCGATTAGTTTGGAGTACGCATTTACCATAATCCGCTATTTTTGAAAGATATCTACTTATTTTAATGGGCTTAGGCATTCAATTGTCACAAGTCAATTATCCCTGGTGTCAGACTCTAAAAGCCTCTGATATGGTCTGATCGAATCAAACAGATCCTCAACAAAATTGTTATACAAATCCAAAGGCCCGTAAACGTTAAACGCCATTGCACGGTTACTGGGTAGTTCTCGTACATTTTTAATGTATTTTTTTTTCATCAAGCCTTAACCGCACGATTACACGCTTAGTGCCTCGCCAATAAGAACCACCCAGACACGGCGTGGCTATCGCGCATGACTGAACCAGGCCTTAAATTCTCGTCGCGCAATCCGCGGAAATACTTCGTTAGATTGTCATCTTACTCTTGTTTACAAAAAAAAAATACCTGTCTTATGAATCGTCAATAATGAGTCGACACTAAAGAACTTCAAGCTTAATATTAACCAGCATTAATCGCGGGAAGAGCCTGGATGCGGGCAGCGCAGGACCGTTCATTGTGGAAAACCTTGGGGGAGGCCTTTGTCCAGCAGTGGACGTCATTTGGCTGAAACGAATTAACCAGCATTCCACCTTCCAGAACAAACACCTACCCAAAACTGCCGGACAAGTTTCGCGTGCGGTCACCAGAAGCCTGCGCGCCGCCCGCGCCCGCTGCCGAAGAAGAAGTCATCTACTTCTGACGCGCGCCTCCGCCGGCACGCGTCCAGCGCTCCTGAGACTGCCGCCTGTCCTAACTCCGTGAGTGGACTTGGACAGTGAACTTTGTTGATGTTAGGATAAAGTCGCGATTCGGATAACAGTGGCAGTCTTAACTGTTTATCATTTTAGTCATCTACTTCTAACTCCTGAGACTGCTTCCTGTCCTAACTCCGTGAGTGGACGCTTAGACAGTGAACTTTGTCATTTTAAACTCCTAGCAGCTTATGGACTCCTGGTACTTGTGAAAGACTATCTAAACAGTGCGTTAATAAAATATTAGTATGGTACACTAGCAGTCGACTGCTCCTCATTTTAGTCATCTACTTCTGACGCGCGCTTCCGCCCAGCGCTCCTGAGACTGCTGCCTATCCTAACTCCGTGAGTGGACGCTTGGACAGTGAACTTTGTCATTTTAAACTCCTAGCAGTTTGTGGACTCCTGGTACTTGTGAAAGACAACTGGTACTTGTGAAAGACTATCTAAACAGTGCGTTAATATTAGTATGGTAAATTCGAGATTCAGATACAGCTTGACAGCTGAGCACTGACGTGAAAACTGCCCTTTAGTAATGTTATTCAACGTTATGATAGTCGGAATTCGGATAACACTAGCTCCTGAGACTGCCGCCTGTCCTAACTCCGTGAGTGGACGCTTGGACAGTGAACTTTGTCATTTTAAACTCCTAGCAGCTTGTGGACTCCTGGTACTTGTGAAAGAGAATCTAAACAGTGCGTTAATAAAATATTAGTATGGCACTGGTAGTCGACTGCTCCTCATTTTGGTCATCTACTTCTGACGCGCGCCTCCGCCCGCACGCGCCCAGCGCTCTTGAGACTGCCGCCTGTCCTAACTCCGTGAGTGGACTTGGACAGTGAACTTTGTTGATGTTAGGATAAAGTCGCAATTTGGACGACACTGGCAGTTTAAGCATCTACTTCTAACTCCTGAGACGGCCGCCTGTCCTAACTCCGTGAGTGGACGCTTGGACAGTAGACTTTGTCATTTTAAACTCCTAGCAGCTTGTGGACTCCTAGTACTTGTGAAAGACTATTTAAACAGTGCATTAATAAAATATTAGTATGGTACACTGGCAGTCGACTGCTCCTCATTTAATTCATCTACTTCTGACGCGCGCCTACGCCCGCGCGCGCCCGGCGCTCCTGAGACTGCCGCCTGTCCTAACTCCGTGAGTGGACGCTTGGACAGTGAACGTTGTCATTTTAAACTCCTAGCAGCTTGTGGACTCCTGGTACTTGTGAAAGACTATCTAAACAGTGCGTTAATAAAATATTAGTATGGCACTGGCAGTCGACTGCTCCTCATTTTAGTCATCTACTTCTGACGCGCGCCTCCGCCGGCACGCGTCCAACGCTCCTGAGACTGCCGCCTGTCCTAACTCCGTGAGTGGACTTGGACAGTGAACTTTGTTGATGTTAGGATAAAGTCGCAATTCGAATAACAGTGGCAGTCTTAACTGTTTATCATTTTAGTCATCTACTTCTAACTCGTGAGACTGCTCCCTGTCCTAACTCCGTGAGTGAACGCTTGGACAGTGAACGTTTTCATTTTAAACTCCTAGCAACTTGTGGACTCCTGGTGCTTGTGAAGACAGTGTTACTAGACAATCTAAACAGTGCGTTAATAAAATATTAGTATGGTACACTGGCAGTCGACTGCTCCTCATTTTAGTCATCTACTTCTGAAGCGCGCCCAGTGCTCCTGAGACTGCCGCCTGTCCTAACTCCGTGAGTGGACTTGGACAGTGAACTTTGTTGATGTTAGGATAAAGTCGCAATTCGGATAACACTGGCAGTCTTAACTGTCTATCATTTTAATCTCCTGGCAGCTTGTGGACTCCTGGTACTTGTGTGAACAGTGTTAGCAACACTAGCGAATCTAAACAGTGCGTTAATATTAGTATGGTATGGTAAATTCGAGATTCAGATACAGTTGGCAACTTTAAGACTGCCCTACATTATACAGGGTGGAAACGTTAAGTGATCTCACTCTATTATTTC